GGTTTTTATTCTTATTCTTTATGTCGGATTTTTTATTTAATTTTTTTTTTATTTATTTATTTATTCTAAACACAAATTCATAAAATGTCAAATTCCATTACAGCGGGACGGCAGACCACCCGTTGAAGCAAAAGAGAAAGTATAAATATCCTTCGGGTAAACCTTTATTTCTTTCATACTTGAAGAGTTCGCTTATATCTGATGATAAAAGTAAATAATTCCTTTACGATTCAGGGAAAGATTCAAAGAAAAAATATTATATTATAATAACTAAATAAATTAAACTGTATCTGGTGGGGAAAATCAGCCCGACAAGAGTGGTTTGTACTACATGTACTAATCACCACTTTTTATCGAATTATTAACATCTGCCTGAAATTTCGTAAATAGCTTCATCTCATCGTATCCTAAAACTATTTTATTAACGAAAACTCTTGGAATTGGGGCGTTTTCAATCTGGGGAGGTGTAAACTTTGTCTATTTAATTCGGTACTATAAACTAGTAAATACCCATTTGTTTTCTACTTCGACCGCAAAATGATTCGACCACAAAATCGATAAGAAAGGTGGTCTACAAAAATATTGTCCTATATATCCTCGTTATTTTGAACATTTGGGAGTGTAGATCACGACAAACAGCTGAATATTTTTGGAGGTCACTTTTTTTTTCGATTTCGTGGTCATTATTCGTATATTATTCATAATTTTGTCAAAATAAAATTTCAATGTTGCAATATTAATACATGTACTGTTAGTCCGTGGTACGGAACCCTTTGTCTATTTAATTAGATACTTAAAACCCGTACATACCCATTTGCTTTCCACTTGAATCGTAAGATAATTTGATCACAAAATCAAGAAAAAAAAATGACTTACGAAAATATTAGGTTTATACAACCTATTTATTTTGTCATTTTGGGGGTGTAGGTCATGCCAAACGCCTCAATACTTTTGAAGGCCACCTTTTTTCTCGATTTCGTGGTCAAATTATCTTACGATCCAAGTAGTAAGCAATTGGGTATTTACGAGTTTTTAGTATCTAATTAAATAGACAATGTTTATCGCCTTTCAGATCGAAAACGCTCCAATTCCAAGAATTTTCGAAAATAAAATATTTGTAAGTTACGATGAGATGAAACTATTTACGAAGTTTCAGGCGGATGTTAATAATTCGATAAAAAGGGGGTGTGCCACGGACTATAAGATTCGTTTCAATGCACCGTTTCGAAGTTATAATTAAAAAAAAACAATAATATATCGAAAAAATCTGGCCTTTTTGGCTGTAAAATGTTTTCCATATGCTGCTTACACTAACAATTTTGTTTTTTACTTGTATATATATGGAAGTTAAACAACTTTTATCGCAATATATTTCCTGTTTCGATCCTCAAGTTACTAGCCTAATAATAAGAAGAAAATAATAATAAGAAAGACAACCTCCATTTAAATCAGCCAAATAGTGACAATTTATGTATTTATTTAAAATGGTCACATATGAAGGCAACAAAAAATCGACAAAACTTAAAATATAACAAAATAATTGTTGAAATGTTTCGAGCTTGAATTATTTCAATACATTTATGAAATCTCGCAGAATAATTTGAGCCATCAATTCGTTTAAGATAATTTAAAATGGCTACAGAATGTAACTTATGTTTACCGCATAATCAGTCCTTCACCTTAAAATACATTGGATAAAAAAGGTTCAATGATCAATGTATATACACGTATTACTTAGTATAATTGTATATTGTAATTAATTTAAATATAGTTTTACTGAGGGTCAAAAAAAAATTTTAAAATGAGATAATTTTTTTAAAATTTGTAATATAACCAGCTGGTCTAATTATTATGATATTATGATACTTAAAAAATATTATGATAGGTAAAATCTATAAATGAAAGAAATAATTAAAATTAGTGTAAAGTACGCAAACAATCTTTGAAGTTTGTTGAAGATGACTCCCATAAACTTTTTTTTTTTTTTTATTTATTTAAAATGATATTTACAACTGTATATAAAAAATACACATCTAGTAAATTTGCACATTGGTATAAAGACATGGAACACATGTTGAGAAACTACCCATTGGTAGCACTCTAATAATATATCTATATTAGAAGATCACGTGGCCATCTTCTTTTCAGACGCCTCGGAGGGTTATCAGGAATCGAATAGGAATCAAGGTTAGAGACAAGAGGGTTGGGATGGTGATGAAGTTTATTATGGAAGGATTGGGCCAAATCTGATACATAAGGAACATTAAGGTCATTATGGATAATTTTATTTGTAACAAAGTAAGGAGCATTGAGGATTTTACGAAGGATTTTGGATTGCAAGGACTGTATGCGAGAGGAATTTGAAGGCTTGGTGGAGCCCCATAGCTCAACCCCGTAAGTCCAAATAGGCCTTATTATAGTCAAGTATATAAGTCTTTTATAATTGATTGGAAGGTTAGAGCGTTTGTCTAGTAAGTGTTGAAGTAGTCGGAAACGTCGAGCGGTTTCTTGTCGTTTCAGTCTGGTATGAGGATTCCAAGTTAGACGTTTGTCCAGATGGAGTCCTAGGTAACGGATTTGTTCAACAGGAATAAGTGAGGTGTTGTTAAAGGATACTGAAGGACAGGAAGTCATTGGTTTACGACGAAGGGTGAAGGTAATTTGATGGGATTTATTGGAATTTATTTTAATTTCCAGTTCTGACACCATTCTTCAAGGTTTGTGATGTGGGATTGAAGGGTTTGGGATGCAATAGATGGGTCGTTATTGACTGATAGGATACATGTGTCATCAGCATATGTGGTGATGACAGTGTTGGGATGGGTTGGGATGTCAGCTGTATAAACTGTGTAAAGGATAGGACCTAGGATACTACCTTGAGGAACACCTGCAGACTGGGAAAAACGGGATGTATAGACATTGTTGTGATTTACTTTAAGGTATCTATCAGTAAGGTAGGAACGGATAATGAGGAAGTAGGTAGATGGTAGGAATTTTCGGAGTTTGTACAGCAGTCCCGGGTGCCAAACTCTATCAAACGCCTGTTCAACATCGAGAAAGACTCCCGTACAGTACATACCGCGCTCCAATGCAGAGGATACTACGTCTACCACACGATGGCATTGCTGTATAGTGGAATGGGAGGAGCGGAATCCAAATTGGTGATCTGGGATTATGTGATTAGAATCTAGGATTGGGTACAGGCGTTTTAAGATTAGTTTTTCCAGGATTTTTCCCATGATGGGTAACAGAGAGATGGGACGGTAAGAGGATGGATATTCTGGTGGCTTTTTGGGTTTGTGGATCATTTTGACAATAGATATTTTCCAAGGATCAGGGACCCATAAACTTAAAACTAATTTCGATAAAATTAATTATTTAATTAGTTGGAAAAAGTTCACATTGGTATAATTTCAAAATTATTGTTAAAAGCCTTCTAGAGCGTTAATTGCATATGCACTTTCATCATTACCTATTCTCATACGTTAATGAGAAAACGGCATTAGTTTAATAAAGGTAGTTTTTCAGGTAATAATTATGGATAACAAGGCCATAAGCGATATTAAAACTGTAATTTTCTCTCGTAACACCTGAACACGGTGTCAGGAAATACATTGAGTAATTATTTCTCCAGCATTATAACTCTAACCAGGTCTATATATTACAATCATGGCATATATATCACTTTTTTATTAAGCAAATAATTGATTTTTTGAGAATATATAAATGATTTACTGATAAATTATACAGTATTAATATGGTATGACTACGATAATCGTTTCCTCGCTACATTTAGACACATTCAGCGGTCTACTCTGTATTAAATGAGCTTAAATACAGTACATAATGTTTTTTCCTAGGCAGAACAATACCTGTTCTCATATAAGTGTAGATAAATTTCAGACAATGTTTTTTTTAATTAAGAATTTTTAAAATATTTCGTAAATCTGAAGCCCCCAAAAATTGAGTTGGAACTGAAAATATAATACAGATTTTTTTTTTTTTATTTTGCGTTGACTATTTTTGACTTTTTTTTTCATGTGCACATTTTTATCATTACTACAGTTATTATTTTTCTATTTATATAAGTTATCAATGGAGCATCGAACATCAATCTTTATTGCTCTTGTGTGAGATATATCAAATTGTTTATCAATAATAACTATTAATAAAAACATATGTTTTTTTTTAAATTGATTTATCTTTAAATTATTTAATGTAATTTATTGTACTTTTTAATAATTATTTAGTTGTTATTTTGTTTCTGTTTTTTTTATATATTTTATTGTAAATTTAATTTTTCTTTTCTTATATATTTTTTAAATTTTCAATTAAACTACGATCATTATTTAAATTATTAATACAAATTTATTTATTGAAATCTGGAGCCCCCAAAAATCGAGTTGGAACTGAAAATATTTTATTGAAAATATTCTAAAGATTAAAAATTTAATCTTTAATTAGTCAATTAAAAATTGACTTATCTTTAAGTTATTTTATTTAATTCATTGTATTGTACTTTTTAATAATTATTTTCTTTCTGTTTGTTTTATATATTTTATTGTAAATTTAATATTTCTTTTCTTATATATTTTTTTTTAATTTTCAATTAAACTCTGATCATAATTTAAATTATGATGAAAATTTTTTTTATTGAAAATACAATTCTTTGCAGATAAAATATTTTTGAATAATTAATAAATAATTTATATTTTATGTAAATATATTATGAAGTAGGCTCACTTCACATTATTAATATTTTTCCTATATTAAGAAAGAACGTAATATAATTTTTTAAAAAAATAATTGACAGTTCTAGAAAAAATGTGAATTCTTAAAATATGAGATCATTTAAAATAAATAATCGTTATTGAAACGGGATATCAATGATGTGTTCATAATTAGTTTTGACGAATTAATGTCCTTCTATAAAGTAAACTTAGATGGTTTTTAGTTATATGTTTAATTTTTTTTTTACATATTTTTATTTATTTAATATTTTATATTATTGGTGGAATAATGGAATAATAAAGTCCATACCTTCCAGTCTTTGTGATGATCATCTCGGTGCCGAGCTCGTGGAATTTGTCCCAGAGCTCCTTGGTCTCGAGGTGGCAGGTCACCCCAAGGAGGTCCTGGCAGTTACACCGCGTCCTGGTTGATCCTGCAGGACTTTCTCGTCCTTCGGAGTCGGAGGCCTCCGAGCTAGGCTTGGCCTCCACTTCGCTCTCAGAGCACTCCTCAACATCAACTTCCACTTCCTCGCTGTCCGAACAGCTGTCTCCTCCTGGAGAGTAAAAGAGAACATGTATAAAGGACAGTATTGATAGTCCGGCATCTCTTAATCCGACAAGCTTGTAACATATACAAAGAGTAGTGCACAGTGATCACAGTAGTACATAAGTAGGGAAGAGATTATTATTAGTGTTGCCCGAATGCGAGACCAAGGCAAGTCTTGGTCTTGCACAAGAGTCTTGCAGTTACCTATTAGTCTATTACCATAGAGATATTACAAAGGAAGGAGATGGTCCGGCCATAAATAGGCTAAATAGTGGTAAAAATATTTTATTAAAAGCCAATGTTTCGAACCGATTTTGCAGGTCTTCTTCAGGGAGGTGTGTTCAGCTAGGAGTTTCACTTAGAAATGAGTTCTAATTGAAACTCCTGTCTGAACACACCTCCCTGAAGAAGACCTGCTAAGTCGGGTCGAAACGTTGGCTTTTAATAAAACAGTTTTGCCACTATTTAGCCTATTTATGACCGCCACCCCGGACCATCTCTTTCCTTTAGAATGCAACGGTCAACTATTAAATATTCAATAGAGATATTACTATAATTTTTCAGATAGGGAAAACCTAACTAGGCCCGAATGAAAAATTGGAAGAGTTCAATGCAAAAGTATATTGGTTATACCAATTCTTTACATATAGTACTTAAATTATCAAGTATTAATAACTATTTTGTCTTAATTTTTATTCATAAAAACGATTTTTTTTACCAATCTTGGTCTTGCAAAAGTCAGGCGATATTGCAAAAAGTTGTTTTAATGCATTTTTTCGTCATAAACTTGTATAATAGATTGATAGTGGTTTTATTATTAAAGATTTTATTATGATTAAAATTAATATGATTTTTTTTTTATTAAGTGTTGTCGTCAGTTTATTGCAAAAAATAAATTCTAAACTTATAAGCAATTTTTTAAAGAATTGTTAACTTATTCACTAACGTAAAAACGCAGGAAATACATCAAATTGTCGAAAAAACTTTTCAGTATAATAGTTTACAGTATATTCTGATTTCGCAAAGATAAAATTCATCAAAATACGTAGTGAATTAACTTAACATTATTTACTTTCAAAATATTTTGAAAATAGATATTCGACTGCATGTTTACGTATATAAAATATTTCTTTATGAATGATTATTTTCATATATTTAATTTTTTATTTTTTGAATTAGTATATTATTTTACTTTATTTAATAATTTTTTATTTATGTATTTTTCTTCAAGCAGAGCTTCGATTTATAACCATTTTTAATTATTTAAAACTTGATTAGGTTGAGACCAACTTTATTTGTATGTATGGGGTATCTCTCCGAAAACAGACAAGTAATAATAAAAAGAAGATTTATAAAAAAATTAATTGATTTACAATAATTCTATCTGAATTACTTAAATTACATTGTTTAAAGGGGAACTTCAGTATTCCGAAATAATTGCTAATCCGACAACTTGTTGGTCTAATATTTGTCGAATCAACAACATTAGACTGTACTTTAATATAAAATGGTGGGAATAAAAATTTCGAGGTGTTAAAAATTAATAATATTAAATTGCAGGCCCAAAGGTTTTCTTGGAAAGAGTACAAGAAACAACTAAAAAAGGTTAAATAAAAAATTCTAGTATGACTTAATTATTTGTGATATCATGTATTATTCTTCAGTAATTTAGAAAATTTAATTGCGGATACTTAAAAAAAAGTCCAAAACAGCTGATTAATTATAATCATGTCTTTTTAGTAATTAAACTTCCAACTTGATTATACATCGCGGTTTGTTAATAATGGATTTAAAAATGATTTACTTTAATATTAACTGTATCAATTAATGTTTCAATTACCATTAATTTATTTATTAGTTACAGCAGTATTAGACATATTTTCGGCAAATAACTATTGCACTGTATAAAAATACCAAAAGTCATCGTTGGAGGGTGTGAGTGCATTTAATATCAGTTTTAGAACTCCTGCTACACCTTAGGAGTGTTTCGGAAATGTCTGATATTTAATATTATATAAATACATATAAACATATACCTATATTTTGGAATATATTATCATTCCATATGTTAAAATATATCATGGAAGCATGCTCAAATTCAGTCAAAATGTATGCATTTACATTTTATACATTCATTCTTAACGAGTTAGATGGTTGAACAATTTTATATGGATTGTTGGATTGATATGAAGAAAAAGAATTATTAATATATAAACGTATATTATTATTTTCCTTATATGGTAGCATTACTTACGGATTATTAATTATTAATTTTCCTACGTTTACTTTAAACGTAAATAATAAATTTCCTTGTTGATTTAAAGGTTCTAGTTTTTTCTAAATTGAAAAACAATGCCCTCTATTGGCGACTATAAGAACAAAGTTCTCAAAAGAAAATTGTATAATGGCCATCATTGTTGTTTCTATAGTGCTCTTGAGATCAGTGTGTTTCATACCTTTCTACTAACACTTTTGATAAGAGTAAGTTGGACACTTATCTTTATTGTTATCTTTATATTTAAATAAATAGTTAAACTGTTTTGTATTACCATGCTCCTTGAGCATTTGCTTTAGTTTGTAGTTATTAATGTGTACATGTCTGTAATTAGACGGTAAACATTTTATACATAGATTTATAAACAAAATAATTTAAACAATGAATATTTTCTATAGAAATTAACCTTCTTCTTCCATGAATTTTAGAAAAAAAAATTAAACAGGAAATGTCTGTGGTATATCTCTACATCTGCCAGGTAACCGAAATTGGTGTAATTAGTCTACCTGTAGAGCAACTGGTATATTCTAACCACATTTTAAATAAATATACATTTATTTTCTTATTTAACAACATTTCAAGTAAATATTTTTTATTAATCTGTTGTTATTAATATGTAATTATTAATCTGCTGTTATTAATCTCAATATTTTGGATTGAAGAGATTGTAATTTTTTACGTGCTTATTTTATCAAGTTTTGAATCGCAAATCTGCGAGGCGTATGTGAATAAAAGATTGAGTAAATATATATTTTTATTTAGCTCTGATCTTCAATTTTGATTTGTTATGAAACGACTGGAATCTTTTCAGCAGCTTTTTTAAATTTTTTTTTTTCATTTTGATGTGTGGGCTCTAGGTTATCTTTCTGTCAAATATTTTAAATTAAATAATTTTTTTTTAAGGTACCGGTTACATTACTTAATTAAGTTGAAATTGAAGTAAAAACTTCTTTAGACAAGTTTTGGGATTTCTTTTTGTGGAGAGTGAATTAGATTGAACCGTCAGATTTCTGATGTGTAACGCTCGGGTATAGTCGGTTTGGAGTCAGCTAATTGAAGTGTTTCCATATGGATTGAAATTTGAAGATTCAGCATTTCATCCTCTTTATAATGAGCTATTATTTATAATTTATATTTCATATTATTAATCTCGCCTTGTTGATGTTTCACTTCTATAAGTGTGATCTAAATCACACAGCTTGTTTTTTTTTTTTTTGTTTTTTTCATCATTGGTAATTTGCTAAGGAAAATAGACAAAATTGTTCCAGTTAATGTAAATTTATCAGAAAAATAATGTAAACATAACAAAGGAGATATAAGCTTTGCAGTAAAACAAGGGATCAATCGATATCGAAATTTTGGTCGATATTTCAAAGGGCAATATATCGGCCACATCGGCCTCTTTTTATTTATTTTTTTTTTAAATTTCATTTAGTTATTAGTTTGTTTTTTATTTTACTTAATTTATTTATATTGTCGGAATATATGTTCTTAATGAACCTTTTACTAACAATGTTTTATATCGTGACAGAATTTAATATTACTCAATAAAAAAAGAAAAGAAATCTATCATTTGGTACCTTTGAATTGTTAGATCATAGGTTTTCATGATTGCAAAATAATATCATATATATATCATAATAATCTAATATATATATATATATATATATATATCATAATAATTTAAATAGAATTTTTATTTAATTAAAATATTAAATAGACAGCTGTTTATTTCAGTATAGGTTAGAATGTCACGGAATTGCCCTGATGACACCTGAATAGGCGAAACTTAGGCGAGTTGGTTGGGTTTTTACCTGCATTTTAAGTCGGGTTTGCTCATTTACTAAACAGACACACAAACAAACGAAAACAAAAAACACAAGAAACAGTGGTTTTACACATATATAAATTTCTAGAGAAACACCCCACTTATACGTTTGTTTTTTCCCATAGTTTGTGACATGTGTGTGTTGAATATGAACCTATAATTAAAAATATACTTAATTTAGTTAATTATTAATTGATTGATTGGAGTGGTAACTGACCTCAAGATCTACAAACAAGTTTATATAAACAATGTTTCGCCATAATTTCGCCAAAAAAGTAGAAAATATGAATATGAACTGTTAACTAAAAACACACTTAATACAGGTAATTATGGTTGTATATTTATGTTTTTGATTTACTTATCTTAAGTTACCTGATTTTTTATCGTTTATAGTTTTTAATTATTATTTAACTTTTGTTTATTTTATGTTTTCTGTATATGTGGTGTGAATGTGTTCATATCTCACTATAATTATTTTCCAGGTGATAGATTATTATATTTATAAATAAATACTCATACTTTTGCCTCCACAGTTGTAGGGACAAGTCTGGTTTGGAGTTCTCTCGCCAAATTGTAAATATTGTATGTACGTGTTCTTTTTATTTATTTATTTTTAGGTTATTTTATTCTTATTTATTGTATATCTATTATTTTTCTGTATAATTTATTTTATTTATTGTACATAGAGTGTGAATGTGATCTGTGAACTCTATTATAAATGTCCTAGAGATAGATTGTAATATTTTTCAATAAATAAGTTTAAAAAATAAAAATAAATAAATAATTTAAGTAATTAACAATTGCTTAACAGTAAACTAGATGTACTTCAAATCCAAATTTAAAATTTGCTTTAAATACAAGAAAAAAGCTTTTCTTTGTTAAAAACATTTAAAAGTAACTTTGA